GCTACTGTTTCCATAACAGCAAACCGTAGTAACTGTACCGATGACAGCAGCCACCACCACACTGCTGTGGCAACGTAACAGCATTGTCTGATGGCCAATCCTAGACAACTGATATCATGTTGTGGTGCCTCATCTGTCACCTTCATAGAATCATAGGCAACGAGGGTTGAAGGGTCCTCAGGTGGTCGCATCTAGTCCAATCCCTTGCTCAAAGCAGGACCAGCCCCAACAAGATCATCCCAGCCAGGGATTTGTCTAGCCGGGTCTTGAAAACCTCCAAGCATGGAGACATCACAACCTCTCTGGGTAACTTGTTCCAGTGTTTTACTACCCTCCTGGTGAGAAAATTCTTCCTAGTATCTAACCTACACTTGCTGCAACTTGAGACCGTTGCTCCTTATCCTTCATCCTTTTAGATAACCTCTCTTTGTTTCAGTGACATTCATGTGTAACCATTTGGCATTTAAAAGGTGGAGGGACATCTGGGTTCGTGGGTAGGAAACTTTGCACTGACATTCATGTTGCACAGATTGCTTAGGTGACCTATCTGAGCGATCTTTTTGCAGAATTGAACCGATAATCTCAAGGTCTGAAGTAATAAGACTCTGTTGCTTGAGCTCAAGGCCCTAGTGCTGGCAGCATAAAACTTTCTTATGTCCTTTTGCTGCCAGATGGGGACAAGCATACAGTCAGCTAGTATGTTAGAGTAGAAAGGGAGAAATTTTGTCCAGTCAGCAAAAGACATTTGGACAACTGACTCCTGACCACAGTCAGGATTGTTTCATATTGTCTGGGGTGATTATTCTGTAGCTGGACTCTGTTCCCCATGGTGCCAAACAGTCTCCTTACTGATCAGGTTGTGTGGGGTAGTATTGAAACCCTATGGCCATAAGCACCTCTTAAAAGGAGTAGTCTGCCCAAGGACTCTGCCCCAGAGTAGAGCGTGTGGTTCTCAAGATCCCAAACTACGGCTCCCATCGGGCAAGACAACGTCACAAGCCAATGCAGCTGCACACAGGACTGTCCTGCGTTGCTCTGTTTGGATTCAAGAAGCTAAAAATGTTTCATTTTGATCCACTTGAAATGTGCTGGCTCTTCCAAACAGACATTTATTGGAACTTTTCAGTCTCTGAAAATGTAGATATTTCAAACTTACTGGAAGGGAATGACAGAGGTATTGAAATGTCAGAATTCCCCACAGGACAGACATCTAGAGTTTTGCTCAGCTGTAATGGCCCTTGCCTGGCCTCCTCCGTTACACAAAGCAGTGGATTCTGCTCAGTTATTCCTGCACCCAGCCAAAGCTTTTTTGTAGAGCGAGAGCATTTCTTTGAAAAGAGACGCATCCAACCTGGATGCGCTGCCTTCACCTAACAGAGAACCCACCACCTCCCCGGGTAACTTGTTCCAGCAGTTAATTACCCTCGCTGTTAAAACTGTGCATCATATTCCTAGCCAGCATTTGTCAAATTGCAACTCCCAGCCATCACTGGGTTTGCCAAGACGAGGGTCGTTAATGACGGTATTTTTAGTTTGCTGGCCCCTGTCCACCAGAAATGAAGCCGAGACCTGACAGCTCACTTCATGCAAGGCTACAGAGCGGCGGTGGGTAGGAACAATTTTTGGTCGCAGACCAGAATGTGGAAGGGAGCTGAAATTAAAAAGCTAAATTGGAAGGGGGCCAATTGCTTTTACTGTTAAGGCAGCCACGTGAACTGATAATGCTTTTCCTTGAGTGTGTGCAGGGGCACTGGGGAGCCAGCTACAGTTTAATTGTATTTCTTTAATTTCACCAAAGCGGAGCCTTGAGGCAGATCAACATGAAAGGAAATGAGGATTCGGGAGCGTTCCTCTTTTTTGTTTACCAATTTAACGTGCATTTCCTTGGTGCCTTTCCCATTCACGTGAGAGGAAGGAGCCCGCTGTGGGAGAGTCGGGGAAATGAGTCTCATGCTCCCCACTGTGTCTTTGCCAGCGCCGTGGCAGGAGTTTGACTCTCACCATAAAACCAGATGCATTTATCCTTCCAGGCACAACTGTGGTTTTCACCATTTTATAGATGGGGAAGCTGAGGTGCTGAGAGGTTAAATGGCTTGCCCAAAGTCACACCTGTGTCAGGGCTAGTTCTTGCAAGACAGTTGCATGCAAACGTGAGCATGGGGGGGGACCTTGTGTTAAAATGATGACTCTTATCTTCATGAATGCTCAGTGGCCTGCTCCTAGCTCATAAGCATTCAGATCCATGCTCTGCTATGTAAACAGGGACCCTTTGAACCCTCTAACCCTGTTGCCATTCTCATATAACAATAGCAGCTCCTTCGTTCAATAGTCTCTGGAGTACACCTTTAAAGAAGCCAAAGCCATGAAACAGAGAGAGATTCTGGGGCTGATTCTTCTTCAAAGAAAATCTCCTGATCCATAAATATATCCCCTGAAATCCAGGACAAAACATAATGTATAAAAGATTGAATAGAAGATATATTATGCTATTGCATAGCAATCCTGTCTTCAGGAATTTATAGCTTCGATATATTCCCTGTTAAAAGAGGTTCTGCTAGCCGGTGGAGGAATTCAATTCATCTTGTATCTGTTGCAAACCATCAATATTATGGTTCACCCATTTAAACTGGAAATGGGACCAAATCTTTTGACTATTTATAATAAAAAAAATAAATAAAATAAATGACGATCTCTGCAGCATTGTTGGCGTGCTAACTTTGCTGAGTTAATCAGAAATCTGTTTATTTGGTGCTCTTGGAGGCTGGAGGGATTTTCTTTTTTTGGTTTTCTTTTGTAATTTAAGGACATTGAAGAGGAGTAAGAAGTTAAATGTATGGGGATATTTTTCTTGCAGAGCTCTTTGCATTTGAGAGAGGCCTAAAATAACAGCAGCATGTCTGTGGCTATAGGTCAGGGTTGAAATGGATTGGTGGCTCCAGGGCTGTAGGTTGTAGCCGTGTTGGTCTAAGGACATAGGTTCTTTGGGTAAATCCAATATATTTTATTAGACCAACTCAAAGAGTTGGAACAATTCTTCACAAGATTGGTGGCTCCAGGAGTAGAATAGCAATGGTGTTTCAGGTTGGCATTGAAATGCATTGGCAGAATTGCATACACGCATGCATCTTTGTCTGTGGAGGGATCTGGAAGCTGTGGGTGTGGACTTGCATGAATAGCTGCAGGCCAGGCATGGACTCGCATGAATAGCTGCAGGCCTGGGGAAAGGCTTCTATCAGGGTCTGATTGTTTAATACAATAACAAAATGTGGTCAGGTCTAGCAGCTTCCTGGTAATTAAAACTTACAACCTGCATTTTGCATGATTAATGAAGAAGACCGAGCAAGAATGCTCAGAGATGCGCTTCCGTCAAGAACAAAATACTCCTAAGCCTGCCTGCTTCCTCCTCATCCGCCCCCCAGCGCAGGACTGGAAAAACACATCAAGCCTAGGCCAGGGAGAGTCTAATCCAGACCTGAGATCCCAGGGGGTTTAAGAGATGCTCTGCTCATCCCCCATCCAAAACGTGGGACAGGGTTGACGCTCTGGCACTCACGGGGGGGCATGCAAGGCTGTCAGAGCCATACTGTCAATGAATAGCATGCTACCTTTTGACAGAGTTGCTCAACGCAGGGATGCATTCAAACCCACGCTCCCTGGAGGGGGCCAGTCTAGACTGCTGTCTTGATTTTGCACAGAAAAAAAGACGTACCCATTTGCAGTACAGCTGGGTTCAGAAGAACACGGGGGTTCGGATGGCTAAAATACTCTCTTAACGCCACGGTATCTTCTGGCTTCGATAGGTCAGCTTCACCCAGTGGAACAGCTGGCCCAGCAGTGTTTGAGGCAGGAACAGCTGGGCTCTATTGGCAGCTCAGATACCAATTTAAATGAGTTACTTTTCTCCATCCCTCACTTTGTCTCTGAAACGGAGACACCAGGGCTCACCCTCCCCGTACCCAGGGGTTCTGCGAGCCTTGAGGAGTGAATGGTATTAAAGTGCTTTCAGAGCCTCTGCTGAGAAGTGCTACAGCAGGCCCAAAGCTTTGTTATTTATTCTCCCGAATTGTTGCCAAGCAGCAAACACTGACAGCCCCATTGCTGATTCCCTCGGTGAGCAGAACGAAGCGCACACACAGACATGCGAATGTACACACATGCACAGGGGCAACAGCATACAGACAGGCCCACAAATGCAGGAGCATAAACCACCCCCGGGTATGAGCGCAGACCTACATCTGTTGACTAGCTCGCAGAAACACACGCACACACATCCAGATGTGGACATTTGCAGCAATGCAGCTGGAGGCAACCCCCACTTTCAGTCCGTGCACTGACTATCGGAGATTATATATTTACCACCGCTTCCTCGGCAGCTTCTCCAGGCAGCAGCTCACAATGAAGTCCAATCCCCGACTCTGCCCAACCGGGGGTAGCGAAGCAGCTGATGAAGGTGGAGAGGCTGCAAACGAAAATTTATCGTCTTTCCCCTGGCGGAGGATGCCAGGGTCTGAGTGATGCTTGGAGAGAGGTGGGTGGCTGGCTTGGCCTGAATGCACTCCCATTATCGTCTGTAATAAACTGCATCATGGGATTTGTGCTGTGTGTTTAGTCTGGAAACAAACTTGTACAGCTCTGCTACCACTTGGTTTCTTGAATCCACTCCCTGTGCTCTGTCCTGCGCTCTTTTTTAATCTTCCCTTCCCTTTGTTGCTCAGGTCCCTACAAATTCACTTCTCGTTCCCGCTTCAAACATCTGCAGTCATGGCCCTGCTCCCTTTTGATAAGGCCACTGTACATCATCTCTGAATCCAGCCCAGTGTCTTAACCACAAGAAATACGAAACAAGGCAAGGCTTATGGGTGTTAGGATTTACGGGCTGGTTTGGCCTCGTCTCTGTTTGACTTGTCAGACTTGGGACACGCTTTTGCAACCACGGCTTGAAGGTTTGCCATGGGATGAGGCTTTCTTATGACAACTCTCTCTATGCTCCTGCTCCACAGATAGCATTTGCATCCTTGGATGTGCCCTGCAGTCTGATCCCTCTGGAGATCCTCATCTCACCTGCCAAGAGACGGCCTGAAAAAGGACCTTTCCCTCATCAGATTACGAGGTAGAGGGGGAGAAATGGCTTTATTCATGAAGGTGGGTGTGGGAGTTAGAATACCAGCCTGCTGCTCAGGGAACAACAAGCAGCGGCTTGACTCCTTTTGCATCAAGCAAGTAACTTTGTGTGATCTTTCCCAGAAACTTGACTGCATTCCTAAAGAGATGTGCAGCCTGCTGTTGCTAAAGCAAGCCCTTCCCTCGCCCCTGTCATTCATCCAGCTCTCAGCCTGGGAGGTGCCGTCTGATACTCGCACCTCTGATCTTTGCCAGCCAGTAGCTGACCTGGGCCTTAGGTTGCTGACAGTGGCCTCCCAAGGACACGGATCAATCCAAATGAGATGAATGTAGATTTCCTGATGTGCAGGGTAATGAAATTGGTAAAGATGAGATGCACCAACCAGTGCTACAAAGGGACTTCTTCCATCGTATGGAAGTCACTGACGGTTCAAATTCTGCTTCCTTTGAGTTATAAAGCTATGTTGTATCAACGATGCAGCTGGGAGCTGGTGACTTCTGCTCCTCCAAAGCTTGCGTATAGCTCACTCAGGTCTATCTATACAAGCTGTAGATGTACCCCAGGACTGCGGTGTAGATGCACCCTCTGGGGCCATCTTTTCTGATAAATGCGAGAAGAGGTGCTAACATCTGGGATAGGGAGAACTAGGAACTGGATGAGCTGTGGCCACAACTTACACATCAACCTGGGGAATGAGGTCTACTGGGTCTCTAGCATGCCCAGGCAACTCTGGGCAGCCTCACCCCCCTCATTTCTGGGGTAGCATGTATGGAGCAGGAGGGCAGGGACAGAGCATCTGCCACCCTGGTGCAGAGGTGAAAGGCTCCATTGCCCCTGATGAATGTGCCAAGCCCTGGTGCCTGTCCACCCTCAATCTCTGGCTGCTAGGGCATCTTATGCCAGGCTTGTGATTTTTTTCCACAAGGGTCTGAGACAGTACAGCAGACCGCTCTCTTCCACTCTCTGCATGGCTGCCAAACAACTTTTCCTGAATCCCACAGCCCCAGGATAGGAGGCCCAAAAAAAGCCTCCCAGAGAAGTGAGAAGCTCATCTTTTATGGAGTGTGCATGTCAGCTGCAATCACAGTCATTTGAATATTGTCATCAGACAGTTTCCTCTCATCGCAGCTTGGCTGGAAGTGAGAATAAATCTTTGCCAAGTCTGTCGCACGCGCACGCACGCACGCACGCATACACACAACCTCCTATGTGGGGTCTGGTTTTTATCTTGCTAGGCTCCCCTCTCTTGACTTCATTCACTTTTATGCTCGCAAGCTCCAGTGTAAGAAGTAAAAGGCTCTATAAAACCTGCACTACGCAGCTGTGCTCGCTGTTGTCAGGCTTCGGAACTTGGGGCGTAAAAGTTAGGGAATGAAATCAATCAATCGTTATTGGATTTATAGGCTGCCCGGTGAACAAGGACCCAACAACCACTTTACATTTTAATCAGAGCAGAATCCTATCAAGCAGCCCACAAAAAAAACACCTCCATGGGAGGCAGGGGGTGGGGGGATGTCTTCTCCACCTCCTGCCGTGCCCAGCAGCAGCTCTGAGCACCCTGCCCTCCCTTCCTCGCTGCGGTGGCAAATCCTGGAGATGAGGCACCGGGACAGCACTAGAGCAACCTTAGGTGCAAGCCGACTGTTTAGTTGGTCTAAGAAAAGATATCACGTTTACCCAAAGAACCTCGGCAGCTAATTGGCACACGTGCTACAGCATCTGGGGCAGTGGGTACCACCTTCACCTGAGACCACTGCGGGACAGGCCCTGCCCACTCACTCCCAGTCCATCCATTTCCCTTGCATTAAGGCAGTCCTGGGAGTGCCCAGCATTGCTCCCAGGACTAAGTCTAAGACAGAGACTCGGAGAGCATCCCTGGGATTATGGTCCTGGGATTGCTGCAGGTGCAGGGTCATCAGGCTGCTCTAAGAAAGGTACATTGCTTTGTTCTGGATTGGACACTGGTGGCATGGGACGAGTAGGTGCAATGTACTTCGAGGTCCCACCCCTGCATGTGGCACGGACATGGTGTAGACAGGTCTTGCCGTGGCCTGCCCTGCAGCTCCATATGTCTGTGGCACGAGGGCAAAAAGGAGCGGGAGGGGAAAATAGGGCAGGGAATACAGCACTCTATGCCTGTTGCCTTTCCTGCTGTGGAGAGCAGTGGGTGGTGTCCTCTGTAGGGCTCGGGACAGCTGGGTTCTCTGCCTGGCTTTGCTTGTGATGTTGCACAAGCCGCTGTGCTTCTCTATTGCCATCTGTCAGGGCAGGGTGATGACACTGAAATACTCTGAGGCTGAGAGATGAGAAGTGCTGATGTATCCTCACTTACTTAAGGGCAGACCCACACTAGAAGGTCCTTCTGGCAGAGCTACGTCAGCGAGGGGTGTGATATTGCTTTGCAGCATGGCAGTGTCAGCAAAAGCGCAAGTGCACATTGCAATGCTACCAGCAAAAAAAGGGAGCTTTTGCCAGCAGAGCTCATCTTGCATGCCAAGCCAGGTTTAGCCAGACCAGCAAAAGCCCTGTTTTCTGCCTTCTCAGCTGCAGCTGCACCAGGAAGGTTGGTTGGTAGAAACCAGTGGTTTTCAAACTGTGTTCAGAGAGGTTGGGGATCACAGCAGAGCATGCCAGGCGGTATTACGTTGCTGTGGCTAGGCTCGTCACCTGGTCCCGAGTCAGTTGAGGATCGAGGTAGGGCTGCAGAAGTGATATAAAAGGATTTTATGATTTCAGAAAGTTTGAAAACCACTGGTATGATCTTTTCCACTGGCAGCTAGGCTGCAGTGCAAACCCCACGGTGCTGTCCATTCCAGTATGGAGCCAAACCAAACTGGGGAAATTTCCCTGAAAGCACAATTTTGGGAAATAGTTGGGATGAATTTCATTTCAATAAAAGGAAGGCATTCCTTGTTGATGGCCACCTTTTGAAATCTTGTATTTGATCTTTTCTTTATATAAAATAATGTCATTGGAAAGTCATTCTAAAATGAAAAAGCAGAACTTTTCTTTCCAAAAATTGTCAAGACAGGCCATCCTAACACTGCCACCCCTCCCCCTCCCCTTCCAGTTCTTATTCTAAATAAAATGTCATTGAAATCTAAACTATTTTTTTGAATATTTAACAGAACCAGTGTTTTCCATCAAAATAACATTTCAGTGAAAGACTTGTGAGTACCTCCAGCCTTTCCTATATTTGGCCATTCCCCTTCTCTGTTCATTCATGCATTTTCCAAAGTAGGTCAGTGGAGTCCTCTGTCAATCCCAGACGTCTCGTCCCATGTGCTGTATCAGGTGCGGCGTAGAATAGATTTTTGCAAACTGTGCATGTTGTTACATGACTCCACAACAAGCACTACTTCAGGATGTTGATTCAGTTGTTCTCCAAATCCGGTCCTCCTGACGCCGCTCTGCTTCTCAGCTCTATGCCATCAATCAATGATTTCTCTCTGTGCTCCTTTTAAAAAATAAAGAAATCAATGTGACACTAGATGAGGCTGAATGCAACAGTGCCAGGCAGGTCCAGGGGGCTGAGAAAATGCAGAGGACAAGGAGCTGAGCTTCAAACCAAGCAGATACCCCGGGTATGACTGAGGCAGGTGGGTGGAAGAACAGAGACGATATAAATGTGTGCACGCAATTTTATACCCCACGTTACGAACAGGTATGGAGATAGGGGCAAGCAGATACGCAGCTGAAGGCATTCCCGTCTGATAACTATTCAGTGGGTCCTCAGATGGGTGATGGTGGACCTCAGCTCGCATCCTCGTGAGCATGGCACTGAAAACAGCATCACCAGGTGTATATACCCTGCACTCCATCATAGCCATTTCAGAGGAGAGGCTGAGGAATGGCTATGCCTTGGAGGCTGGATTCTCCCTTTACACAAGAAACAGAAGTTCATTGTCAACTCACTGAGCCCAAATGATAGTCCTGGAGGGTTAGGGTAGAGGCACTTCATACGGTTTAATAGCACTTTGCACATATATAGGGCCATCCATCTGTGGTTCTCAGAGCACTCTACAGGTGCTAATGAGCTCAGCATTAGCCGACAGTGCCCCTTAAAAGAAAAGAAGTGTAATCAAACCCCTGCTATCGTGGGGAAACGTGGCATTGAGGGCTTAGCGTATGGGTGCACATGAGATGCTGAGACTTTCCCTGTGACTGTGATAGGGCAGTTGGAGCCGCTCCAGGATGGTGGGCATTGCACTAGGGATAGAATAAGGTAACCTCCGTTCCAAGAAGCTCACTGTCTGGATAGAGAAGACGGGCAAAGCAGTCTTGCCCCATTGTTGGGCCTGTGTTACTGTTCTCCATCTGTGCCTGATTCGCAGAGCCTTGGTGGTTCTGTTTTGATTTTTCTTTAGTTTTCCTGGTGCCCATTGCGACCCTGGGTGTGTTTGGAGAGGATGGTGGCCATTGCAAAGAAACTGCAGGTAACCATCCTGCTCACGGAGGCAGGCACAGAAACCCTGGCTCACACTGCGTGCTCCAAGGCCATCCTTTCTGACAGCGAGCTAGCGGTATCATTGCCCCCGCTGGTCCCGCTCTGCAGCACTGTGGATAATTAGGAAGTCTGGGTCTCTGAGGCTGTCAGACTGGCACCTCTGAACACTCATTCTTCAGCGCATTGAAGAGGCATCATTTGTCTTTTCACACCACATAACCTTATAGAAATATTTTGTCTTGTTTCAGCCCCATTAGTAATACTGGCAATGTTTTGCTGGCTAGGTGACAATTAGCACTTGGCGCAAATGCTATTAAGGAGCTCTTTCCTTTTTTTTTCCCTCTGATGCTGCCATTTGAAACACTGTGGCAGGGACCTATCGGGCACCTGCTTGGGCAGGGCGTCCTGCTGGGCTTCCCATTTGCCTTGCTGAAGTTGGGGTCCTTTAATGGACAGGCGCCTTCACTGTATTAGGGGCGCTGGGGCCAGACAGGAGTGGTGAATAGCAGCGGACGCTGGGTTGCATTTTGCAGCCTCGTCTGACAAGTTCCTTGAGTGATCCAGAGGTAAAAAAAAAAAAAAGACGGCCCAGCAGTTGAGCGATACCATTTCTAATTATCCACTTTCCCTCTTCAGCAAGCAGGCTCACCTCTCTTCTACTTTCACCTTGTCAGCTTCTTGGTCAGAAGAGTTTACCTGGACATGCCTAGATAAAGGCAACTGCTGACATTTACAGATACCTGCCTTGCAAAGCTCAGCACGCCGGCTCTGCCTCTCTCAGCACATTGCCTGCAGGAAGCTCTTTGAGGAGCGGCTGCATGGAAGGAGCCGAAGGAAAACAGAGGAACGCAGTGACCAGGTGAGAGGGGAGGTCTGGGCAGTCTGGGGCAGGGAGACTTGGCAGCATTGTGCTACTCGTGCAGGTGCAAATAATCAAACCTGTGCTTTTCATGTGCTGATGAACTGGATGCAGGTTCCTCTACTTGAGGCTGCCAAATTAACCTTGCGGGTTTGCAGCCAGCCCTTTGTTCGCAGTTGGCATAGGACTCCAGTTCTGGTAATTCTCCTCTCACCAGCTGTATTCAAAGCTTCTTGTGATTTATTTTGTACTCGGCCTGAAGACCCCAACTGTGATCAGGCCCTCGTTGTGCAAAGCGCTGCACGCAGGCACGGTAAGGCAATCTCTTCTCTACGGAGCTTATGGTCTAAATTGACACGGGGAATATGATCATCCCAACTGTACAGGTCAGGAGCTGAGGCACAGAAGACAAAGTGATTGCCCACAATCGCATGGCTAGTCGGTGGCAGAGCAAAGAACTGATCCCCACTCCTCCAAGGTCCAGCCCGATGCTTCCTAGTAAGGCTGTTCTTCTTCTTATAATGGACTCTTTTTTAATGTAGACTCTTCTGTAACGATGCAGGTTGGTGTCAGAGTACCATAGTACCTTGGAGTTGTACCTGTAGCACATGTCTTTGTCTCCTAAAAGGGAATTTCAGTACATTCCCAGCCTTGATCTTTGTGGTAGGCATGAGACGTCAGACCTGTTAGATTAGGGGTTTTTCTTGGGGTCAGTAACTGAGGCCAAAGTGGCTGAAGTGGCTTGAGGGATGTGACCTGTGCTGATGGTGGAAATGCACCAAGCCACATACTTCCAGGTACAAGCTAATTGAACCGCAGGAGCGTTTAACTTCACTGCATATTAGATATGTAGCTTAGCAGCTTGTGTGCTGGGCTGAGAGTCCTGGCTTTTACTCCTGGCTTGGATCTTCACCTGCAATGAAGCCTTGCAGCATCCCAAACTATCATTCGGATTGCTGTAGCGCCCAGGACGCCACTGCGTTAGGCACCGAGTAAGCATAGAACAAAGCCGCCGTCCCTGGCACCGGCATGGGAATGCACCATTTGGTCTGTCATATAAAAAAAGATTTTCTAGCATGCTGGATGGTAGAGATCAGCTTAAAAAATTGATCTTTAAATGTTCAAGAGACAGGGAGCAAACAAACAGACCTTACAATGCGTTCTTTATAAAGTCTCATCGTGTTTGACTCGTGGTTTTTGAACTTCAGGAGTTGGCTACAGTGGTAATGTCACCTCAGTCTTGTGAAGACTTTGTGTTTCAGAAGAAGGACCGGCTGCGAGATAGTGGCTGATGTAGGAGCTAAAAGTGAGGGCTGGAGGCAGGGCCCTGTCACTGGCTTGCTATGACCTTGGCCATGTCACTTGACTTCTCTGTGCCTTAGTAACCCTGTATGTTTTACGCTAACCTGCATCTCTAAAATATGTTGTGATCCCTGCTCACCATGTAAAAGGAGGCCTCATGACCAGGAGGAGATTCTGGGAGCCAAGAAGATTGCTTAGGTCATGCTGCTACCCCTTTTTTATTCTGTTGTCAACAGTTTCTCCTTGAGTCCAAGTAAAGACAAACACACACGCACACATATATTCTCCCTCTCTCTCTCTCAGGCAGCTCCAGACAGAGAGGGGATTTGGGGGAAAAAAAACCCAAGTTATAAAACACTCGGCAAGGAGGAAAAGTTCCATTCAGTGCTTCAGGACTAAAATTAATAGGTGCAACCCATAATCCTCTTTTGGAGGAGGGGGGGAAAAAAAAAGGAGAGAGAGAAATAATGGCCAAATCCCCATGTCTTGCTGTCGGAAAGTCTTCCAGGTTTGTGAAGTTCAATGCATAGGAAATGAGGTGGAGAGCCCCGCTAGACTCAGCATGTTTTTGGAGAGTACAGGTCAAAACTGACCTTCACATAATCAGCCCTAGGTAGAAAACACTGAGGTTTTATGTTTCCAGGGATAGACAGATTGCAGAATGATGGGGACAGTTATTTAAGAGCTAATCTTAGCTACCCCATCCAGCTGCCACTAAACCCCTGGTTTTCTGCTCATATAATTTCTGCTTTGGCATTTCTTCCACTTTTTCTCTTGAATGCAGTGCTCGGCTCGAGACAGTGATAGTGCCTGGTGATGACTGAGCCAGTACAGCTGAAGGAGGGGCAGTGCCTACTTCTCTTGCATGCTGACCCCAACAGAGGGGCTGAGATCCTCACTTTTAGGTTCACCTTTGGGTTCGGTCCCCTTAGTCCTGTTTGGGTGGGGTGAGTACCTTTATCTCTTGCTGGTTTTGTGGCGACCGTGCATTTGAGTAGCACCGCCTCCTTTGTGGTGACCACCTGCCTGTGCTTGTGTTCACCCCACCACTACGCATGGTGTGCTTTTCTTCATGTGGGGCTACTGCAGATGCTTGAGGGGTGAACCAGGCAGGCTTAGTCAGGCAACCTTACCAAAGGCAGCCCCTTGCAAACACATGGAGGTTTGCCTGAGAAATGCAAAGAGAAGCAGAGCAGCTGTTTGGTAGCAAGGCTACCTTCTGTGAGTCGATGGGGGTGAATCCTTGAATTTTGGGGGGTATCTGTTTTGTCATGACCACTTTTGACTAGTGCTTGTTTTGCAGCGTGCATTTTGCAATGATGTGCATTTGCAACTGTATGGGCGCATTTATATGTCCTCCTACGGCGACATAGTGATGCGCTACGTCACCGTATGGCATGCTATGGTGGCGCAGTGATCATGTGTGTCTACATCGCTGTAGCATAGTGCCCTGCTATGGTGATGTAGCGGTGAAATCTAACCGTGTGCGTGGTGCAGGAACCACCCGTGCTGCGCTGCACTGCACTTTATAGCACTTCCAAAAGGAAGCACGGCAACGTGTAGACATGCCACATGTGAAGTGTTTTGCTGCAGGTAGGCCTTGTCTAGCTAATTGAGGTGTGAAGCAGGCAGCCTTAAGAAGGAACACTGATTTAATTGGCATTAGACTCGGTGGAACAATTCCTATGGTTGAAACATCAACATTGAGGGATAAACTCTTTTTCACAAGGATGGGTTTGGGATAAAAGAAGGCAGTACTGCACTGTGTCGAACAAATATATGCCCGTTCCTGGGTCCAAGAGGAAGAAGGCAACAAATTTGAGTGCATCTGGGTGAGGATAAAAGGAGACAAGAACAGCCGTGATATTATGGTGTGGGTCTGCTATAGACCCTCTAGTCAGGAAGAAGAGGTGGATAACAACATTATGCAAAAATTATGAGATGGATCTAATGGGGACTTTTAACTTTCTAGGTATCTGCTGGAAGGCTAATACAATAAGTGCACATGCACACACAAACACACCTGGACATATATACATGTCCATAAAGTTCCTGATGTGTGGAGGATAACTTTCTGTTCCACAAAATTGAGGATATGACTAGGGGATCATCATCTACACTTGTCCACAAAGTTCATAATGTGTGGAGGATAACTTTCTGTTCCACAGAGTTGAGGATACGACTAGGGGATCATCATCTGTCTTGGATCTTATTCTGAACAATAGGGAAGAACTGGTTGACAATATGAAGGTGCTGGGAAACTCCAGGACAAGTCATGGTGACATGGTAGAATTCAGGCTTCTTAGAAAGGAAAATGAGAAGGTTAGCCGGAGGAACATGTTGTATTTCAAAAGGGCAGATTTCAAGCGACTCGGAGAAGGTAGGGTAGGCCCCATGAGTTGCTAGACTGAGGGATAAAGGGGTCTGGGAAGGATGGCAGCTCCTGAAGGATGCAGGATTGGAAGCTCAACGAGAGGTTATTCCAACACGATGACACGCAAAATAGAGCAGCAAGAGACCAATGTGGCTAAGGAGGAGCTGCTTGGATGCCTCAAAATCAAAAGGAGAACATATAGGCAATGGAAGGAAGGGCAAGTCCCTAGAGAAGCGTGCCCGGAAAGAGGGAGAACATGTAGGGACAAAACCAGGGGAGGATCCAGGTGGATTTAGAAGTAGAGCAGCAGAAGTGTAGAGTTGGAAGGGCCCTCTCCTGGGTCCTCCAGTCTACCGATGCAGTATCCAGACTATTTGCCTGAGCTGAGGGATAGATCGTCGCCTCACCTCTGTGCCAGAGAAATCAAGCTCTTTCCAAAGAGTCTTTCCCAGAGAGCTGGCTCCGTCACCTGAACTAGGACCCTGCTGTCCTGCCAGTCCTTTGAGTGAGCATCTCTCAGCTTCCCTCACAGATCTAGGGCAGCATCTACAGCACTGCAAAACCACCCTGTCTGTCCAGGTATTTAAACTTTTGGAGGCAGCAACTGTCTTTTTTGACCTGTGCTTGTCTTATGTGATCAGCCTCCCTGGCTGGGGTTTCTGGGTGGTAGGGAATAAATGACAACTTCCCTGTTCCTGGCCCCGTTCTGGTTATCAGGAGGTCCTTTTTTGCTAAGATCACCCGGTCTCCGTAAGGACAAAGTCTGTCCTGAGAGGCAGGGGTGTTGTGTAAGTTAAACCTGCCACTCAGCATGTGTTGTGAGTCCCCTGCTATGTCCTAATCCCCAGAGAATATGGGTCTGACACTGCTCTCAGCTGGAGTAACTGGATCTTAGCTCCAGCTGTAGAGATTCATGCTTTCAGCTCTGGAGCTTGCTGGGTTTAACTCTCGACGTTAGCTAGGACAGCAGTGATCTCTTAAGGGGATCCTAGCAGCTGCAAGCCTGGATGAGCTGTGACTTCAAGTGAAAGCTACTGTTTTGCCTAGCTGCCCCGGGGGCATCCAGGGCAGTTAGGAAGAGTCATTGCAACTTCACTTCAGACCCTGCCCCTTAAGCCGGAGACTTGTGACAGGTTTGGGCATAGGGTGTGTTGTAACAGTCAGAGCAGGGTGTGCAAAGCAAATAAAACCCAGCGACTTGTGAGACCCAACATTTAGGTGCAAGAGTCTGTTCAGAGGCACTACATCCATGTCCAACTGGCATGCAAGCGAAGGGAAAATTGGGCTCCGTCACCGAGACAGAGAATAGGGCTGATGAGTCAGT